ATGAATTTCTAGAGGGGTTTTGGGAGTGATTAAATGTTCATATGCTTAATCTTGATAATTGAAGCAAATAACATAAATGAAGTCACATGGATGAAAAGAAAAATTGACCCCACAAATTACAGTGCCATTTTGCTTCTTTTAAGCAAATGTGTTTTCCACAGTCTCTTTCTATAAATAATTTTCTCACTCCCCCACAATCCTTTCAATTCACAATCTTTGAAAAAGTTTGGATGAAGAAAGAAGCATATACATACATATAAACATATATATATATATATATATATATATATATATATTTTCTTCTGGGTGGCTTTATCTTTATTTTTCTCTGTACATAGTTAGAAAGTCTCCTCCACCATATAAACCAAGATAAACCCATGAACCATCTTGGTCTATCACATTATTTTGACATGTGTAAAAGTGCTCACAACAAGGAAAAGGTGGATTTGACAAGTGATATCTCTAAATTATTAAATGGGTTAGTTTCCATGGATGAAATTAAATGAAGGGTCACTCTTATCTTCTTTTAGTTTGCATGAGGTGGGTTCTTGACGAGGATGAATACATACATATATAAAGACATAAAATAGTAATAGGATGAGATAGACATAAAGCATGAAACATGGCACAAATCATTGCATGACTTACAATAATGGTGGTTGAAATTTCTATTTAGGTGATAAGATTATGTCTCCCTTTTTACAATATAAATTTCCAATGAGAATTTGGGAATGTGTTGATGGTCCATCTTTTAATTTTCTTTTTATTTGTGTTGCCCTTTTTACGTTTAACTTATGTTTTTCTTATTTTGGTACTTATTTTTGTGTGTGTTTGCGTGACTTGACCATGAATGATTTTTCCATGGCATGGAGAGGCAAACCATGTCTTTGTATGAGCTAATAGAATTGGCCTGCCCAATCATGGGCAAGGTTATGTTTGTAGGTTGCCATTTTATTATATATACATATATATATATATAGAAAAGATAATATTATATTTTTATAAATCAAAAAGAGAATTACCATTTTGCTAAAAAAAGTAAGAAATTCAAAAAATTTCTTCAAATAAGTAAATTAATTAGGTATGGATAAAATAATTTTAATTAAGACATCTGTAACTTAATTATAAGATTTTTAAGATATTATAATATTTGATTCGACCTTTTATCTCGATGGACTCAACTATTGTTGGCCCAAAAAATTCTATAAAATTACCACAAATTAATTTTTTTTTTAATAAAAAAATTATATTTTCTATCATGATTTAAATTAGAACTCAACAATTCTTGAAAGGTCACAAAATGATTATTTGTAGTTTTTAATCTTAAGGGTCTCACTTGCCATACAAGTAAGATAAAAAAATAATCTATATTCTCATTACCCACACAAAATACACATATGATCCAACTCAATACATTGCGAAGTAAATGAAGCTTGAGTGATAGAATATCCTTATACAAGCTCGAAACTGAATAGTTTACTTTAGGTAGAATTAAGTGGGGCTCAAAATAACTTCCAATAAAAAGAGTAAGTACTTGAAGATAAGCTTTCCCGGTGACTTTATTTGTTTATATCACATGATAATCC